GTTTGTCCACCTCCCTTTTGGAACTTGCTTCATCCAGCTGACACTGCTTCAAAGTCTTAGGCAACTCTCAGAGAAGTAAGTCCCCCCTTTTTTTTAATATTACTTATTTTATGAAGTGCTGATAGAGAACAGATGGGGAGAGATTTAAGCATTTATTTGTTTTCTATTAAGAATGCTTTCCCAACTGGGAATTGAAGAATTAAGTTTTCAAGTATTAAATCATAGAGATATTGATAAGAAGACACCTTTGTAATTACTATACTGTTGGGTATTTTTTAATTCCCTTTCTGCTGCAAGACTTACATTAAACAAAAAATTTGGTTAGTAGACTATATCATGTTCAGTATAGTCCAATAAAGCTGCATCTAAACTATAATACTTTTCAAGAGCAGGATTTGAATGTTAATTTACAAATGCGTGTGATGCCTGGCATCATCTAAAGCAAAAATATTTACCTAAAACATGAAATAAATGGAAATAAATGAATTTCTGCTTACATGGGCTATAAAAAATAATTATATACTTATTTTATATAAGAAGAGTTTATAATGAACTCTCTCTTTAAGCTGGTTATAAGCTGCAGTAGAATTCCTAGGTTTTTGGCAGGCAAGCGAGTTCAGACAGGGAGACTCAGACATTGCTCTTCTGTTGGAATGTTTTTTAGCTTATTTTATTTTAGTTCTGCTATCATTTACTAGGAAGCAACTATAGTCTGCTATCCATTTAGAAGGCTCTCCTTGCACCCACTTCCCCCATCTATGAAGGAAACCTAGCCAGCAGGTTGCTGTGTGCAGTTGCTGTGTGCAGTTGCTGTGTGCAGTTGCTGTGTGCAGCTTTTGTGCTCCCCTGCTGTCCCTTTAGCAGGTGCTTCCTCACGTGCTCTTGGCGCAGGAAATGCTCCTGCCTCCCAACCAAGTGCCTGTGCAGCACTTCCAGGCTGATACTCAAGTCACCTCAGGAGTTCTTAATTTCTCCTGCAGCTCCAGGAAGCATTTGTTCCTGTCCTTTTGGCTGGGAGATGTCTGCTCTTGGATGACATCTCCCCATGCCCCAAGTGTGTGTTGAGTGCCTCATCTTCCAGTCATGTGTGAGTTCTCTGGGACCGAGATGTGCTTGCCTTATTTACACCACTGAACCCTTATGTTCTCTCTGTGCCAGACACCCAGAGTAGGCAAGCTTTTGGGCTCCCTCTGCTTTCTGAGAGGATCCCATCTCAACACAGCCAGGTTATCTGCCTTAATTTTTCAGGGGCTGTCATTCCTGGAATATCTCTAGACTGTTCCACTCTGGCTCTAAATGGAGCTCCCTTCAAGACAGAGGCAAAACAATCTGTAACAACTCTGATAACACGGGGTCATCTGGGTCCTGGGTCAATCCCACATCCCTCTCACTGCCTACCAGCCTGTAATGTTTCCTTGTGTAACAAGAGGTAAGATGGGCTCAGACACAGAAAAGTAAATTAGAGTGTGAAAAGCAGTGAGAATATATAGAAATTATCGGTTTCATTTCCTCCTATTGTCAAAGCAAATCAAAACATTTACCTGAAATAAGCAAAGACTTTTACACGGCTAAGTTTCAATGTATTTTTATTTGATGGAAGAGAAATGAAGATTGCTTTGGTTTGCTTGTTTTGAAACACAGTGAAGAAAATGGAAGCAGCAGAATTTATAACATTGGACATTGACATTTGGAGGGACAGGGGACATAAGGTATGTTAAATCTGGACATACCCTACAAATCTGGAGATACCCTACAATGACTTCTAAGACTCTAGGCCCCATTAATTTGCCTTTTTAAACCGAAAATAAGTATGTTAGAGACAGCTAAAATCTAAACATGAGATATCAGAGCTCAAGACTTCATGAGTGTCAGGGAGATGTATTCAAGGGATGGGTCATAAAGGCAGCTAATTTCATTTCTAGGAAAATAGGAACAAAAGAACTGCCACACTGACTGTTTGAAATGTCTATTGAAGAAGGTAGGAATAGACTGATTTATCAGCCAGTGGTGGCAACTCTTGTGGCCTGGACAACAGCAAGTGAATGATGGCCTTAAACAAAGCTTTCCTTCAGCCAGAGCTGTGCTGAAACAGTGATGGCAGAAGGATAAAAAACATTTCTGAAGCTCTCTTCTAGGCACATCCAAACTCAAGGATCCTAAGGCATTAATACAGTCTTTGAATATCATATCAAGGATCATGCAATTTGTATAAAACTTCCACAAATTTCCATGACGAGACCCAACTCCATCTAACATTTCCGTGCATTTTCAGTGTTTGAGATCTTATGTGCCAGGTGTTGATGACTGGCCTGTCCAGCTCTGCCTGAAGTCCCATAGGGGTAAGAGATACTGCAGAGGGGGTGCTGCTGCTGAGGAATGTATTACTCATCATACAACCAAAGGTCCTCTCCTAAATAGCAAAATCCCTTCAATGCCTCTGAAAGCTGCAGTCCTCTTGCACTCAACCCATGCAATGATGAATTTAAAGACAAGTCTTGCAGGTGATTGTATGGTTGGGGACACTTTCTTATGCCACCCTACAGTCTGGACAATTGTCCCTGGCACAGGTCTTCATCCCCCCAGGAGGGAGCCTGAGACCCAGTAACCTGAAAGGCCCCATTATATTTAAATGCATTAATTAAGAGAGTCTGATAGTTTTTTTTTGCTCTTGCATTTACTTGCAGGTCTTTTTAAGTCTCTGTTTCAGGAAGGGTGAGTTTTAGAAAGCAGATCTGAAACCCAACCAATGTATATAGACTACTGCAGGTAATTAAAACACCTTGGAAGACACAGAAGTGAAATGCATTTGGTGTAAATGAGGTTTCTCCTCCCTCAGAATCTATATCATAGCCCCAGCCTTTTGCTACTAACAATTACTGGAAGAAAAAGAAGTGTTGACAAAATTACAAGATAGCCCAATTTCTGTTTTTTCCTGCTGCTGAGAATATCAGGAGGTGGGGATGTGGCCACAAAGAACTGCGCTATTCAACTGCAACATTTCATTTTAGTCATTTTAAAGGTAACCCTGATGCACAGATAACCCAAACCCACCTCTATGTTGCAGTTGTGCGAGCAGCTTGCTTTCATTTTTTTTCTCCTAGAAGCAAGCTTGCAGCTGTAGGAAAGTCAACATGGCTTTCTCAGGCATCCTCTCCATTTCTTGAAACTAAGAGTTGGAAACTCATGCCTCATTCTGTCCCTCAAGTCCATGTGCAATGGCTCAACATACTTTCCATAAAGAAAAAGAGCTACTTACTGTGCAACGCTTAATTTAAGTAAAATCAGCCATAAATATAAAAGGATTCTTCAAGGTTCTACTTTTGGATGAATACACTGACATGCATCACCTTTTACTAGTAACTTCTGTCTTCTCTGTGCAAATTTGCATAGAAAGTAAATTTACATTTAATATGCACCCTCCTGTGAAAACAGGCTGAGAAAGTTGGGGCTGTTCAGCATGGAGAAGAGGAACTTGTGTGAGGACCTCCTAGCAGCCTTCCAGAATCTGAAAGGAGCCCACAGGAAAGCTGGAGAGGACTCTTCATCAGGAGCTGTGATAGAACAAGGAGGAATGGCTTCCACTGAAAGACAGTGGGATTATATTAGATATTTGGAATAAATTATTTACTGTGAGGGGGGTGAGGCACTGGAACAGGTTGCCCAGAGAAGCTGCAGACTCCCCAGACCTTGAAGCATTCAGGGCCAGGTTGGAGTGAGCTCTGAGCAACCTGGTCTTGCCAGAAGTGCCATTGCCCATGGCCAGGGGATTGGAACAAGGTATCTTTAAGACTTCTTCCAGCCCAAACCATCCTATGATTATATGATTCTGTCTTGCTTTTACTTTACTAGGGTATTTAGTTAAAAACATATCTCTGAAGGAAAGCCCTTCCAAATGAAGGAAATTAAATATATATTTAGAGAGAAAGTGGCTGTTAGGTGAGAAGCCTGTAGAAGCAGGTCTCTGGTTTTTAGCTACTGTTTCCAGACTTTCCAAAGACTATCCCCAAAAGCTGCTGGGGTGCTGTTGGATTGAACTGAGTAGATTTTAATTGAAAATGGAGATGAAATAATGGGATACTGAAAGATGGTACTGTGGCCACCTCTCAAAACAACTTCTCGCTTCTTTTGGTGAGAATGGTTTTCAGCCATGCTTTTCATTCACTGATATAGACACCACATCCACCTAGCTTGCTCCTGCTGGCCAGACTGCCTTTGTAGGCTGACTCCATCCCATGAAGCAGCTGGTCTGCAAAGTGGGGATGCTGAAATCTGCAGCTCTGAGTGAGCTCCTGAATCAAGAACCACATGCCAGTGACACCACCTAATTACTCAGATCTCCTGTGGTTGACTGAATATGAGTTCATTTGCCTTAGGACATTTCATCTAGTGACTGTGTTACACCATTGTATTATTCAGACCATACAGGTAACCTTACTACACTAATTAAATTAATTCAAAATATTTATGTAATTACTAAAGCATGAAACTGGCCAGTGCTGTTTTTGTTAGTACAGCCTGCTACATGAACTGAGCTTTGAATTGTATTTTATTCAATGTAGCTCAAACATGCAGGGACTGAGCTTTCACATTTTTCTCCCAGAAGGCTGAAAAGGGCATTTGCACAGAGACCAGAAGTTTTAATTTAATTAAAAAAAAAAAAAAGTTTTTGTTTTGTTTTTGTTTTGTTTTGTTTTGTTTTGTTTTGTTTTGTTTTGTTTTGTTTTGTTTTTCCCTGTGGATGACAAGTTGGTGACAGATCAAATTGTTCCTTTCTGAAAAGGATGCTTCTATTCTTGAAATCTACAGGCATGGCACTGCTGGTGTTTAAGCCACATTCAGCACCTGCATCACCCATCTCCTGTGGATGGGGACTTGTGGAAGGTCACCCCTAAGGTCCAGCCGAGGGAAAAGCTGACAAAGGCCTGACCCAGGCACTGTGTAAACCCCAGCCTGCTCTGACCTCCCTTCCCTCCCTCCCTCCTTCCCTCGCAGTCGCTGCAATGGCTGAAATCCTGGAGGACGACGCCCTCTGCAGCTCGCTCCCAGTTTTATTTGGCATCTGCAAGAGAAATGTCTTGGTTTGTTTTTGGGGTTTTTTGTTTGGTTGTTTTGTTTTGTTTTGTTTTGTTTTTAATACTTGCCACTGTAGTTCTGAAAAATCAATGTACCTTTGCCCAAAGGCTTCCTTTAACATCAATGCTCCTGGCAAGTGATACATACCTCTTGCTTTTCATGATGTCAACAAAACCTATAGTGTGTTTATTAATATTATTAATATAATAGTGATAGAGACTGCAATCGGGACCTAGAACTTTTTTTAAAATATTTTGACATGTTTTCTTATGCCAAGAAAAATCCTGTAACTATTTTACCTTGCTAGTTTGTTCCTTATTTTCATGCTGAGTCTCAGTACCAGAAGGTCATTAAGTATGGGCTTCTGTTTGATTTTCCAAAGTAGAAAAGTATGAGAACTGTAATTTAATTGCATCATCGATTTCAAAAGTACTTATTTTGAACCTAAGTCAGTGATATTAGGCTAGATCAAATATGCTCCAGTGGGCAGGATGTGGAGAAATGAGCCAAAATGAATCATTTCCTACATAAGCAACTTTTTATGTGTCTAGACACCTGATAACTCATCTAAAGCCCATCTTTGTTACCTGGTTATCCTCCAGTGTTCTCAGAACTTTTGTATAAGCCATAAAATCTTTCATCCTGTGTGTTTGCTTGTTCCGTGTTTTCTTGAGAATCTTAAAGGGAAAAAGATCTTTCCTTAATTTTTAAATTTATAATTAAAGTGGGCACCATTCTAAGTATCTCAGCACATTCAGGTTTGACAGTGGGCTCGGAATCACATTTATTCTCATTTACTTCTGCGAGCAGACAGTTGGATACATTCAATCAATGAAGTTATATGCTGATAATATACTTGGAAAAGCTGTTGATGATAAGGATTCACCTACTGACATATCTTTTATGACTTTGGTATCAGCAAGTTGTTTAAATGAATGTTTATGATGTACACAAGAAGTGTTACAGATATATGGGCTCTACACAAAACGGAATCTTCACGTGGCTCAGGTTTGGCTGCTCTGTGCTCCACTGATTCCAAGAGAAACCAAGTGGAGTCAGCACAGGACTCCTCTGCTCATCCTCTTTCCTGTCCAGCACCTTCCCACCACTGGATAGGAACAGAAAATATGCCGTTTTGAGGAAGTGGGACAGAAAGAAGGGCTATTGTGCTCCATGCCTGGTAAAAACAGTTAATTAGAAAGGGGGATTTATAATCACTTTGTAAACAACACAGCAAACTGAGGAAGTGTTTATAAATCGCTTTCAGTTTAAGTAGATAAACATAAAAGAGACTCTTCTGGAGAAATTTTCTCCATGCTGGATAGGATTAAATGTACGCTTGCAACAATGGAGATTAATATATCCCACAGGAAATCTATTGGAGATACATAGATGAACTGGGAGGCAAAAATGATAAAACTGCAGATCTTGCTGTGTTTGTCTGCCATCAAAAATCACTCTGTCTCTTCTTCTCATGCCTGGCATCATCTTCAGGACTGAAGTAAGTATGTAGTGGGCACTGGTATGAGAAGAGGGACACTGTCTGCTTAAGGCCATATTGTTATGAAGATATTTCTTTTTTAAGACTTCCACAGGTGGATTTTTGCAACTAGATTGTATTGCCGACTGAATCTGGTTACCTTAAGATCAGTAAATAGAAAAATTGTTGCTTTAGTCTTTAATGTTTAATTTTTAGCACACAAAACATGGTGGCAGACATATCTTATTAGAGTCAACTTGGTACAGTATTTCTCCAGTCTTGAATTAAATAGGAGCAGTAGAAAAAGTATTTTAGAAAACTTATTAAATATACAGACCTCTAGAACCTTACAGATTTACCTGAAAGGTGTGGCCTCAGGTAAATTCTAGGCTACATCTTCACTGGTCACAGGTCATTCCTATAAGTATTCAAAAAATGGTACAAAAGACATGGAAAATTAAGTGTTGATTTGTTTATATATATATATATATATATTTTAATACAGTAAAACATAATTGGCACTCTGAATGTACAGTCAGCAAACAAATCTTAAATTGAAATGACTAAAATACTTTCCAGCACAGTTTTAGGATTATTCAAACTGGGAAAAATGGGAAATTTATAAATAAGTGGGATCTGCAAAGGTAAAGCAGCAAAAAAAAAAAAATACTTGGGTAAAGTTTGAGGGTGGGAAAGCAATGGCAGCATATCCAGGTTCCAGCCTCTGCACAGTGTTACATTTCTGATTAATTCAAATGTTTCTACTAATGCATTAATGGCTAATTAATCTGACAATGGTCAAAGTTGGACCATTCAGTGGTTCAGTGGTTGTTGTTAGGCTTTGTGGTCTGCATTTGCTCATGCCTCTGAACTATGGTCCCTGTCTGACACTGTCTGTCTGACAGTGGTCCCAGCAGCTCTCAGTAAAGGCAGCACAAAAGCTGAAGCCTGCACAGACTCGGCTTCAGCATCAAAGCCACAGCAGATGGGAGAAAGGAGCACGGATTCTGCTCTGTAGGATCTCTTGCAACAGTCAGGAACCTGAGGATTTTCTCAGATTTTGTTCCTTCTAGCCAGTAACTCTAGGCCTCCTGATTATGTGTAATGTGTTAAACAATCTTTGAACATAATGCTTAATTAACAAAGAAGACATTAACTTGGAAAAAACCCATCAATTTTCCTTTTGTGAATGTGAAAAGGAGATCTTTAGGGGAGCTAATCAGAGACTCTTTCTCCTCTGTGTGATACCATGATATATACGGAATTAAAATCTGTATATTACTTGTCCATGGATATTAAATTTCAACAGTTCATTAAAGTTGGAGGACGATGACTGCCATCTTCCCTCTACACACACATTCTCTTTTTCACTGACACGTTCACCTATTCACCCAAATAATAATTGCCTTTGGCACTTTATTTTTTGTTTCTTTGCAGTGTCTCTCTCTCTTTGCATGGCAACTCTGTCTGTGACAGAGCAGGAGAGCTCCAAAGGATGAAGTCCCTGGTCAGCACCTCACACCTCCAGCTTGCTGCCTTTGTTCTGGGCATGATAGGCTGGATCCTGTGCACCATTTCAATGGGAATTGTGGAATGGAGAGTGTGGTATGTGGACAACACCACTGTCATCTCCTCTGGCATTGCCTGGGTTGGGATTTGGAAAGTCTGCTTCATCAGCTACCTTTACGTCTCACCTGGCTATAGAGAACAGTTTTGCCATAAATTCAGTGGCTATGACTCCTTCATCCCCCATGAAATTTATGCTGCTCAGGGTCTCCTGTTGATCGCCATGTTCGTGGGCTTGCTGGGACTGGCTGCTACAATATTTGCTCTGAGAAATGTGTATATGGGAGTCACTCACAAAACCCTCATTGCCCCGTTCTTCCTGGTGGGTGGCTTCTTCTACATATTTGCTGGTGTGTGTGTCCTGATTCCCGTGAGCTGGAATTTCTATTCTGTAACTCACAACCAGAGCATAGCTTTTCCTCCTTCTTACTACATGCCCTCCAGTCCAGTGGCACAGGAAGCTGGTGCTGCCATTCCTGTTGGGATTGTGGCTGTCATCTTCCTGTTGCTGAGTGGGACATTTTCTCTCTCATACAGATTTCCCATGACCACAACCACTATCACAAAATCCTGACAGGACAAATCCTCCCATGCTATTTCAGAACAAGAGCATAGTTAAGAGATAAGGTCAGCAGCATGAGTGGTTGCAAAGTTAAGGAACTGCAGAATATAATTTTATTTTATAGTAGCCACACTATTTTCTTATATGAACCAGTTGAGTCACCATCTTAGTACTCACCTATTAGCAGAGGTTTGTCATTGAGATAACTGCTGTTGAGCAGCAAATGTGATTAAATTTTGCCAGCTGTCCTCTTTTGTATATACAAACATTATTTTTTTTTGGTGCAAAATATTTACCATGCTCAAAGAGCTGACTTTGAATTAACTGTCCTGTAAGAAAAATGTGAAGTAACATGTATTAAATGTGAATTTCTTTCTTTGTCAGTACTAAGTTCTTTTGTTGTTTATTTAGTTACATCTGTAACAAAGTATGTTTTGTGACAAGTCAAGGCTTTTAAAACCAATAATATGATTGTCATCATGATTGTGTCAAATTACTCTTCCCTGAATTGTCTTATAAATGTCTTGCCAGTTTCTCCTCTTCCTCTAGGGCACATAAAGAGCCATTCCTTTATTGCTTCTGTTTTTCTTTCAAGCTATTTGCATTTTATATTGCAACATGTTTGCCTGTGGGGAAGGTGCGCTCTTTAGTTCCTAACTGAGGCAGAGCCAAAAAGTCTGCAAGTGTTTGCTTCTTCATCTGACACTTCACTGAATCCAAATGTATTGCAACAGACGGAAATAACTTGTACAAGTTATTACAAAACTAATGTCAAAATCAGTGCTCTCAGTAACCAGGAGTACTCAGTGCACCTTTCAGGGTATGATTCATCTGATGTAGAAATCTGTATCCAAACCGGTCACTTCAGGTTCTGTTTATAATCAATGTAGAGACAAAGACTGCCTTTCTCCAAGGTGTTAGAATGGCTGGGAGATTATGTGCTCCCTGACAACCTTTTTCTTTTAACCCCCTGTAATGGCCATAGTAACCACAGTTGCTAACTGTGGCATATATAAGCAAACTTCACCTAAGAAAAAAATAAAGAGAAATGTTCCAAATGCTGCAATAAGGACAATTAAAAAAAAAAAAAGTTTAGGGATGGGAAGGAATGAGCCAACAGTGTTGACAAATAGATGATCTCTTGAAAGATGTACTCAAAACGTTGTTACATTTTTAAAGAATGCTACAGAAATCTAAGCAATTTAGTTTTACTCTTCTAATTGTTCTCCATTCAAAAAAAACACTCATGGACTCAGAGAAAGAAGAAAAGAAAAATTTTTTAAAATGTAATATATTTTGGGCATTTCAAGACAAGGCAAAATGCCAACAAACCAGGACATCTTGCTGGTGGCTGTTATTAGCCCAGCTCGTTCTAGCAGTCCAATTTTCCTGTACATCTTCCCCTGAGCTTGACTTTGCTGTACTGTCTGACAACAGCACCCTCATTTCCTCTCCAGTCACTTCTGAAACAGCAGTTTATCTCATCATTGGTAATTTTTTCATTGCTGCAAGAATCTATTTTTTGACTGTTTACGATGCTGTGAAGAACTTTCAAGTGGTGTTTCAATGAAGGCAGTTTAATAGCTTGTTTCTGATATATTGTTTCCAGTTTGGTTTCTAAAGTACATTCTTTAAAATATTGGTGGGCTTCAGTTTTAAAGGTGCAAATCAATAGTACTGTCTGTAGTACTGTCATCTTTTTCCTTCAGGGCCTACAATAATATTAGATTATATCATATTATACTTGTAAGGAAAAAAAGAGATCTATCCATGTGTTTATGTGACTAGTAAACTTATTACAGTAGTAAACTACCAATATTTCCTGTCAGGAAATTAAAACTTTAAGAGAAAATTACTGATTCTTCAATTCTTTTTGAGTTAATGTATGCACAGAAATGTCAGCGACCCCAACTGTATTTAACTATATTCACTAAATCATTGGGTTCATTTGTTTAAAGTAAAAGGAACAAACATCAGAGACATGCCAAGTTTCTGTGTTGCTGTCACTGCTGTTTCCACTGGGAATTATATTGACCTGTACTGATGTGTGGCTATGAAACATTGGTTGTATGTCAAACATGATTAGATAATAAGGAAATTCCTCAGCTAAACACTGGAATAGATTACCTAAGGAGATGTATGGATTTTAAAATAAAGTTTTGTCAAAAAATGGTTTAGGCAAATAATGCCAGGAAAACTGTAGGTATGAGTGAGCCAACATCAGGACAGAAGGCTTATCTAGATGGGACTCTTGGCATGCTTTCCCAGTCTCTCAATAGTCACATGATCCAGATTCAATGTGGATATATGGTAAAATATAATCTCTGTTCAAACACTAGTCTATATTAAAACTTTAAGTCCTTCTCTAAAGAAAATATTGTGAAAAAATCTTACAAAATCATGGAATCATTTAGGTTGGAAGAGACCTCTGAGATAATCAAGGCCAACCCTGGGTCATCACTTTGTCAACAAGACCATGGCGCTGAGTGCTATGTCCAGCTGTTCCCTGAATACCTCTAAGGATGGCGACTCCACCATCTCCCTGAGCAGCCCATTCCAATGCCTGATAACATTTTCAGTGAAGAATTTCCTCCTGATGTCCAGCCCAAACCTCCCCTGGCACAGCTTGAGGCCGTTTCCTCTTGTCCTGTTACTGTGAGACCCACCTGGCTACACTGTCTTTTAAAGGAGTTGTAGAGAGTGAACAGGTCACCCATGAGCCTCATTTCTCCAGGCTAATCTTAGCTCATAACAAAGGAGAGGCAAAACTTCCATTTATTTCAAAGCATTGACCTGTCTGACCTTGATCCACCAGGGCAGCGCGATTCATTAAAATGTAGTGAATGTTTGTATTCATTACAATTTTGATACTGAAGGAGAGTAGAACCCCTGTGTTTTTCCTTCACCAGCAAGGTGGCAAGGTTTCTTTGTGTATATTTCCATGACACATTTGTTTTAGATTTGAGAAGCAAAGTTCCCTTTCAGTAGGTCTGTTTGTTACCATGTCAATTGTGCTTATATAGGTACTTTCAGAGGTTGTCTGTAAAATCAGGCAGCTGAAATGGTTTTGGTTTAAAACTCAAAAATGCAAAATTATTTTGGAAGGCTATTTTTAACCTAGACTGCTTTAGAGACCTACTCAATAGCCTGGCCCCGCACTTATTTGTAGAAGCACAATTGAGGACAGGCAGGAAGCTGTCATGCAGGACTGAGTGGCCAGGGTTGTGAGGTAGAGAGATAAGGGGCAAAAACCTCCTAAACAAATTTCACTACAGAATAGATCATATCATGAAGCTGTCTCCAGCTTCAGTGTAAACTGGGACCTGCTCCCTCCCCAGTGGCAGCACCGCTGGCTTTGTGGGCTCCACCCTGTCTAGGAATGTCTCCACACTAGCCTCAGTCTACACATAAACCAGTCTCGCTTTATTTTTTCTGAGTTGACAATAAACAAGTACGTTGTGATTCACTCACATGTCTGAATTCACTGCTGGGGGAATAATCTGAATACCAAGACCCACTTTGAGTTCTGCTGGGTGATAATGATGAGGCCCCCATCTTTGACCTCCATAACATACTCCTTGGCATTAATCCATCACAGGATGCATATTCTTAATTTTACTTACATGTACCATCTACCTCACTTGTCCAATCATGGCCACAGACCAAAAAATATATGAATATACTTTCAATATTCCTGCAATATTCCTGTAGAATGGAAGATCAAATAGAGAATGGAGATGAACAGTGCCTAACAGAAACAGCCCCACAGCACAAAGCCTGCTGAGCTTTTCCCCCCAGATGAATACACAATTGAGGACAACCATCATTTGTGTTCAGGCAAAGGAAGCAGGATGAACTGGAGACACTGTAGCTCAGAGTAGGTCATCACATTAGTCAGGTAAACAAAATTTTTATTTGAGTCAGCAGTTCTACAGTAAAGACAGACTCAGTTGCAGATTTAGCTGATTAAAAACAATGTTAGGCTCAGAAAGAAATGTTGTCACATAGCTTATGGTATATTACAGTGATGAGAAAGAGGGTGTTTTCATGGATATTTTTAGACCTTTGACCATTTCTCCCTTAGAATGGAAAAACTGAAATATCACAGCCAATTTCCTCCTCTTTGGACCATGAAATACTTTAGGACAAAGAGGTTTTGCTTAAAAAAATGTAAGTCTGGCTGGCATAGTGTTAATGGCAAATTGTTTTCTTAAAATAGGAAACCAATGTACATTAAATTAAGGGTTCCCAGAAGAGATGTTCTCTGTGAAAAATATACCTTTTTCAAAACTGAACTGGGATTCCTTTCATTCTTGACAGCATCTGTATTGTCAAATCCAGTATCAGCTCATAAAAACATATTTTTCAACTGACCTATTTCCCTTTCCACTGCTCAGATAATTTGCTGTTTCCCTCACTTGAGAGAGTTCAATAATTAGCTGGGTGCTTTGGAGTGTGCCGACTCTTAATTACTGTGTCAAAACCAACTGCATTCCAAATAAGAAAATCTAAGTAAATCTCATCTCATCTCATAAACCAAATAAATACTGGCTTAAAACTGGGAATGGAGTACAGCATGCAGTGTTAATATCCAGTTCACAGAATGTCACATCACTGCCTTCCTCTTGGAAATATATATGCGGGAAAGACCAAGTATGAGGTTAATTCCCAGGATGCTATTTTGAAGAAGCCCATACATTCTGACTGCCCAAGGTTAATTCATGTGCAAGCTGATTTTCAGCAGTTGAAAATGTGGCCCCATTACAATATAAACAGGGAAAGATAAAAAATCAGAGTGGGTGAGATATTATGTGAGAAACAAGAATGAGAGGCATTCACGGTACCCACAACTACATAAGTGCATTGCAATTGCCAAATGACCGAAATTGAGAAGGAGAGGGGGAATCCCTTGAACACCAGAAGTGCTTAAAAAACCCTGAAGAATACAGAACTAGAAATGAAGCATTCAATGGCTGGGGAAGAGATTTGAAATATTTGTGTTACTGCTGAACAGTTTGAAGGCATGGAAATAAAACTGATCAAT